CGCAACTAGAACGGCCACCATAGTAGCCGCCCACTGAAGAGCCCCGACAAGCGCCCTCAGCTGCGTCTTCTCCTTGTCCGTGGCGGGGCTGTCAGGATCAGCCTGGCGACTCTTCTCCAGGGCAATGGGCTTCACCTTGTTGATGTAGTCCTCGTGTCCACAGGCAAGGCCACCATCTGGTTGTCGCGTCACCTGGGTGCCGAGGAAGTCGAAACTCGGCTGGTCCTCTCTGAAGTCTCTGAAAGCAAAGAGACTCTGCAGGTCCTCCCTTGTCTTTGAAGCCCAAGAGGGCTCCACCACTCCAAGCAGATCGTCCACGTGGAGGCCGATCGCGCATCGGAGTTTGGTGTCAAACAGGAGGTAGAGGCATCCATCAAGTGGATGTTTGGTAAACCCGAGGGACAACAACCTTCTTGATGCCTCTTCGTACCATGCTCGAGGTGCATCAGAGAGGCCGTACATGGGTTTTCGAAGCCTCATCAAGACCCGGGGGTCCGTGATGCCAAGCAAGGCCCGGGCATCTGCAGGAAGGCGAATCCACAAAGTCCTGGAAGCCGGGTGCTCTTTTCCTTGAAGGAACGCCGTGGTGATGTCGGCGATGAAGGTGCTCCAGGATCGTATTGCGGCGAGCGACATAAGGGTGGTTCTTCCCAACCGAGACAAAGTAGGGCTCGTAGAGTCCAGGAGGCCGGCCAACGCATCAGGGTCTCGGAAGCCCTGAGTGATCAGCCTGGCCTTGGCCCGAGGGCTTCCATCTGGATGCTTGGACCACTTCAGGATGAAGTGGGCCTTCAACACTCGGTTGGCGGGAGCCTCCTGTTCCGTCGCACATTCCCAGACCTGGTTCGTGAAAAACGATTCCAATTCCTTCTTTTTCGCCTGCACGAACGCCACCCTATCCGCCAAAGACATGGCTCTTTCGCTCAAGTTGCTCCTGGCATCTTTCTGCCTCTTTTCCTTGGTGCCGGCGTGAGTCGTGGCACCCTTGGAGGCCGCATAGAAGGCTTGTTGTGCATCTCGTCGGTGGCGTGCCAGGATCTTGAACGCCGTCTGTCCTGTCCAGTAGTGGTTGTCGTTCTTGGCGGGGTGGTTCCTCCACCGATCTTGGTGGCAGTGCTTCCCTTTTCGGGTGGTGCGGTCCTTGGCCAGCATCTCCTCCGGAATGGGGCAGTCGCCGGTCTCACGTGGATTGAAAAGACAATCCCTGACTACGTAGTGGTTCCGGATCAGGGTGTTTCCTTTTAGCTCCCAGGTGTCGTGGATAGGCTCCAGGGCCAAGTAGCCGTGTTCATCCGCATACCATCCAGGCGGTAGTCCAGTCTCCTCGGGGCCATCGGAGTTCTCGAGCTCCAGCACGTCAACGAGAAACCCATGTTCGGTGGTGGGTCCATACGGTTGTGGTCGAGGAGGAGCTGATGGTCCACGAGGTCCGTAGCTGATGGTCTCGCTCCGATCGATGCGAGATCTTCTCTGCTCAAAGGTCTCGGGGGTGGTAGGAGTGCGGAAGGTCGGGTGCACGACGTGGCTGATGGTCTCGCTTCGGTCGATGCGAGCTCGCTTCTGTTCGAAGGTCTCCGGGCCGTTGGGGCTGAAGGTGTGGTGCATGTTGTCGTTGGGAGTGTTGCCGGACGAAGTCTCCCCTCCTGTGGCTGTCCCCGGTCGTAGTGGCTTCCGCAGAGTCCTGGTCCGGGTTCACCGAGGGGTCATCATCGGTCTGCTCGCCGTCCGACCCCTCCGCATGTGGAATTGGTGTCGTGGCTGCCTCGGTCGGAGTGACACCTGCTGGCGGGCCGCCAGCATATCCTGGGGGGGGCCGGAGAGGTTGAGGCGGCGGCGGCCCACGAGGCCGCGAAGCAGGGCTCGGCGTGTCCGGGAAATTGTTCTCGCTGTTCAGGATGTCGGCCGAGTTGGCATGGGCAGGCTGGGCCACGAGGGGGAGTCTGCAGGAGCGGCAGGGGCGCCTTGTGGTAATCGAGGAAGTGGGCCCTTGGGCGGCGGTGAGTCGCCGTCATCATCGTCCATGGCCTCGTCGTCAGAGTGTGCCAAGTCCTCGCGGCGGCGCTTCTTGTTGGTCTTGGGGCGGTCGAGGTACACTGTCGTGCCGCGGTTCTGAATGTGTCGCACCAGAACCGGGGGGTCCGCGGCCAGCGTGTCTGACTCCAGGTCGGGACGGACGTGCTCAGGGGCAGCTCGGATAAGAGCGGACCCATGCACCAACCAGTAGACGGTGGGCGGATGGTCGGGTCCCCTCTGGCTTTCCACCAACACCACAGTTGCCGGACCTTTCCAGCGTATGCGTGGTCCTGTGCCTGCTGCCTCCCGCCAATAGAAGCAGTTTTGGCCTACCAGCATCCGTGGCGGATCGCCGCGGTGCTGTCGAAGTACGTCGTAGCCGAAGCTCGTTGTCGGCCTTGACTACCGCGGTTGCAGCCCGGACTCGGCACTGCATCTTGTGTTGGAACGCTTCCGTGGGGTCCAGGTGGCTGTAGTTCACATTAGAGTCCAGGAGACTTCCGGGAATGTTGGGTTGGTACCCCAGCACCCACTGCGTAGGACTGAAACCTCCAACAGAAAGGCTCTGGTTGAGCTGGGGAATGATGAAACACAGCGCCTCCACGAGACTCTCGGGGCCGGTTGGCGGGTTGTCCTCCAAGTAGAGTTCCACGGATCGTCGCAGCACTTGGTGGCGACGTTCCAGTTGGGCAAGGCGTTCGTGTGCCTCTCCACAGGAGATCACCAGCTCCATTCCATGCTCGGAGGCATATTGCATCACCTCATCGCTTCCCCATACTCGGTGACTGTCGACAAACAAGGTTCGTGGGGGGCCGAAGACGCGGATCCAGCCTCGTTCAAGAGCTTGTAGAAACTCGGCAGAAGTCTCCCTCCGAATCACCGGGCGGCCACATACCGGGTTGCCGCATCCATCATAGTGATCACCGGGATGGTCTTTTCCAGGACCTGTAGCCACACCGTGTCGGACAACAGTCTTTCGTTGAAGCGGAAGGTAGTACGCAGGGTAGTCTTGGGCACCTGGACTGGTGGTGCCAGCTTCCGACACGAGGGGCATTGGTAGTTCTCCGCGGTCTCTACCACGAGCCTGTTGGCTCCACTTTGTGCCAGAATGACTCGTAGGTCCCGATTGTTGGGGTGACCAAGGTTCCGGTGTAGACGGGCAACAATTCTCTGAGCCTCTGCTGGTGTCCTGCACTCAAGTTTCTGAAGACATCCCGTCAGCTTGGTAGATGTAGGCACCGCTGGTGGTGGATCAGGTTGTGCACCGGGTTGTGCGGAAGTAGACTCTGATTGTGGTGGATCTGGTTGTACACCGGGATGTGTGAAAGTAGACTCTGATTGTGGTGGATCTGGTTGTGCACGGGGATGTGCGGAAGTAGACGGTGATTGTCGTAGATCTGGTCTTCCATCTGCTCTGCTCCTTCCAAAGTTGTGCTCGGCCTCCATGTCGGCATTGGAGGGGAGGTCGAGGTCGGCAAGGTTTCCAATGGTCTGGCGAGGGTACAGATCATCATCGTCTGGTGTTCCTTCGGACGGCTCGTACTCTTCCATGTCGATGTCTGAGGCGGGGAGCGCTTCCGCTGCCGTCGAGTTGCCGTAGATGAACTGGGCGTAGTAGGCTCCTTGTAGGGCTCTGCCAAGAAGCCACACATCTTGGGCTGGTATACTCCAGCCGCTCTTGCCCGTGACCCGATCATCGAGGCTGACCCCATGAGGGTCTGGTGCCGGTGGGTGCCATCGCATCGATAGACACCCAAGGTCTCCATCAGCAACTGTTGGTTCACTACCAGCTTCGTTGTCTTCTTGATCGGAGTCATGTTTCCTTGGGGATGCGGCAGGGCCGCTCCCAACGCGCACTGGTCGATGATGATCTCCAATCCAAGGTCATGTAGGGCCGGCGTGCTCCAGGCCTTGGAGTTCTGCGGGTGCCCGATGATTGCAATGCCCAACTGGGCCATCCGCAGAAAGACCCTTCTCACAAAGAGGAGGTGGGTATGGTGCTCAAAGTCCCGGGTCGCCTGAAGCACGTCGAGGTCCTCCTGGGTCCGCTTGGAGAGGTTCTGCAGCGGCGACCACTTGGTGCATGGAGGGGCCAGCCACACAATGTGTGGCATCTCCTTCTCCAGGAGCTCGAAGAAGGCGCGCCGGTGGCTAGCTGCTTCAAAGTTCCACTCGGGCAGGTCGAAGGTTCGGGTCTGAAAGCCATACTGCCGCATAGCCGCAGACAGGTTCCCCGAGCCACTGTAGACCTCCCAGAAGATAGCACAGCTTTCGTCTGAGGCGCGGTAGGCGCTCTCAAGTTGTCTGTCCAGGCTATTCTTGGAGCGGTTGATACCGAAGATGATGCTTTTCCAGAGCGTGGGGGGCACCTGGCATTCGACGGCCGGAGCCAGGTTGGCATTCTCCCGGATATCCTGGGCCTGGTCATCGAGGAGGTTGATCGCGGGCTCGTCCTCCTCGAGCATGATTTCATCCATCGTGAAGACGGGTCCGGCACGGCCTGTTTGCTTCAGGTAGTCCCCCAAGCTATGCAGAACACCATCTGCCAGGAAATCCTCCACGCAGTCGTCGGTGACGTAGTCAAAGTCGTAGTCCGCTTGGAGCGTGTCCTCATTGAGGCCGTCGTCGAGGGCCAGGAGATGTTCACCTTTTGGCCCTTTTAGGACAGAGGTCCAACCCTCTCCCAGCACAGACACCATGTCGGTGTCGTAGTTCACCTTGACCTTCAAGGCCTTGAGGAGGGGGCGGCCGATCAGGATGGGCATGGTCCCTTCCACCAGGAAACTGAATGCGCCCTTAGTCCCTCCTATCCAGACAGGAAGATGGACACTCCAGTCGGCGAGGCTTCGGTGGTCCCCTCCGAAGAGGAAGCTCTTGTTCACCTGCGTGAACGCCAGGGTCTCGGGGTCCAGGCCTTTGGAGACGAACTCGGTGATGACCTCCATGACGAAGTCGTGACCACCAACCATGGAGGACGCACCTCCATCCTGAAGGCCGACACACCTTCCGATGTGTCGAGGGGCAAGTGCGGACCCAGATCGGCGGTGCCCTGCTTTGGCCTCTTGTTCGGGGAGCCGGGGGCGGATCCAGTCTGTGGCGCAGGAGGCTTTGGGCACTGAGAGGCCCAGTGTCCAACTTGTCCGCATCGTAGGCACCGGGTAGAATCCGCTCTGGCTGCTCCCTTCGAAGGGAGCGGTGGTCCACGTGCTCCGCCGGGTTTGCCCTTGCTGTTGCCCTTAGCCTTCCCTTTTCCTTTTGGCGTCTTGCCCTTCGCGGGCGTGGCAGCGATCGGCATCTGGGTCCCGGCCGGGTCGACCATCGCCACAACCGGGTAGTAGCCTCGTCCTGCCTTCACCTCGGCAAACCTACGCCTAGCATCCAGGTAGGCGGCGTAGGCTTCTTATCTCGTCGCCCTCGTCCTCATCTGCCAGGAACGTGCTGTCGTAGGGCTCGGTCTCGAGGGGGTCGTGGTCCTCCTCCTCCTCATAGAGTTCGGCCTCTTCCTCGTAGTACTGGGCCTCGGGGTACTCGTCCGGGGCGTCCGGCTCGTAGTAGTCATAGCCGGGGTCCTCTTCCTCCACGGTGTACGCCGAGGAGTAGTGGCGATGGTTGCCCCACCGGTAGGTGGGATGCCCTCGCCCTTTTCCAGTGGGCCTTGGCTCGGTCCTGCTCGTCCGGTAGTCCTGGCCGAACAGGTAGAACAAGGCTTGCTCCACTGTATTCACGCTGAGCTTCTTGTTGTCGACCTGACTCATCACAAGTTGCCTTTGCTCAGCGGTGAGGGCTGCTCTCCTCAATAGCAGCCATCCTCCAACGGGGTCCGGCAGTTTCACGTTGTGGCGCTCTAGCTCCCGAGCTGCTTCTCTGTGTTCGGAACAGTACTGGATGAGGGTCTGGCCGTAGGGGCGGTTGACGCCATAGAAGAAACGCTCAAAAGCCTTCGGCATCTCAACCCTGCTGTCGTACTGGTACACCCTGTCCAGCTCCTGCAACACAATATTGAAGCCGTTGTCATCGTCGGGGGCCGTCTCCGCCAGGTGTTCGACTTGTTTCCACACCGGCCCGTTGAGCGACGTCAGGAGGTTGATCGTGGCCTCCGTCTTCTTGCTTGCCAGACTCATCTTCTTATAGTACAGTGCCACACGCTTTCTGTACTCCTTGTACGAGCTGGGCTGACCGTCGAAAAGCGGGATGTAGTTGTCACGAACCACATCTGGATTCGACGTAGAGGAGGCTGACGTCGTAGGGGCATCCTTGCCCTTCCCAGAGCCACCCATAGCTCTGGAGGGCGCGGGGCCCTTGGAACGGCGAACCGCTCCG